GTTTCTTGCCTTGCCTGGAGGCTTCGCTGTGTTGGGCCTCCTGGAGTTCTGACCTTCATTGTCTTTTTCTCAGATATTGTTTAGAATTGTTTGGAGTGCTGGTTTGGTGTTCATGAAATTTCTCAGGTATTCTTTGTTGTGGAAGTATCTAATTTCCCCATTGATTTTGAAAGATAATTTTGCAGAATATAACAGTCTAGGTTGGACGTTATTTCCTTTTAGGGCTTGAAATACTTCACTCCAGGCTCTCCTTGACTTGAGGGTTTGCGTTGAGAATTCTACTGTGATTCTGATGGGCTTTCCTTTCTATGTGATTTGTTTCTTTTCTCTAATTGCTTGTAGGATTTTGTTCTTTTGTTGGGTTTCTGGGATCTTGACTATTATATGTCTAGGTGTAGATTTTTTTATCATGGCTAGTTGGAGTTCTATATGCCTCACTTATCTCTATGTCCAATTCTCTACCTCTGTCTGGGAAGTTTTCTACTATTACTTCCGTGAAGAGTTTTTTTATGTCATTTGTACTTTCTTCTGCTTTTTTGTGGACTCCTATCAGTCTTATGTTATTCTTCTTTGCATCATCTAGCAGCAGCTGGATTGATTTCTCATGATTCCTTACTATTTTTAAGAAATCTGTTTTCACGATCACTAACCACAATCCTGTCTTCTATATCTAATATTCTATCTTCACATTTGCTCAATCTGCTATGAATACCTTCCATGGGGTTTTTAATCTCCTGGTTATCTGTTTGAATCTGTTTCATGGATTCCATTTCTTTCCTATATTGAGTGATCATGGTTTCCATTTCTTTCTTATGCTAGGCATTCATGGCTTCCACCATGGTTCTGAGCTTATCTGTTTTTTTTTATCTGTTTCTGTTCTAGAACCTCTAATCATGTCTTTCACTCTGCTCACCATCTCTGCAGTTATCTAGAAAATTATTTCCATTTTGAATTTTTCTAGGGCCTAATCTGTTTTGTTGCTTCCTGTGCTATTAGTTCAGGGTGTCCAGGTGGTTGATTATCAGAGTTTTCCACCTTGCTTCCCCCAGAGTTTACCTTTGGTGGGGTAGACGTCTGGGTTTGCGCCTTGCTTAAATGTCTTCTCATTTTCATTTTTGGTACTGTCCTTGGTTTAATTCCTGGATACTTCAAACTTGTTTATTGTAAGTATCTTTGTTGCTTGTATTTTGAACCCTTATGGAATGGTTGCTTCTCAGAGGTGTCTTCCATATATAGCTGGTCTTTAGGTTTTGACTCTCTAATGGCTCTGAAGTTGTCTCATTTTCATTATACCAGGAAAGACAACTGATTAGATCAATCACAATACCTTAGCCCAAGTGATACAATCAGCAATGCCATAGTATCAAGCATAGCTTAGAGAATGACAATTTGTGGTAGTTATTAATCTATAACCTATAACCGTGTGCATTAAATCAAAATTGAGGACCAGCCCAACATATGTTTATAGTGAATAGACTCTTCAGTACAGCAGCTTTACCTTTCAGGATCGGGAGTTAGAAGGTGTTGTGGAGGAAGGAATAGATAGGTAGAAGGATAGGGAAAGGTTAGCAGTGTGGCCAGAGTACACAGGAAGATCACACAAACTCTAAGAAACTGTTAAAGACAAGAGAAAAAGACAGAATGAAAGAACAAAGATGAGACCAGAACAACCTAACAGCAATAGGGAGGCTAGAAACTGTATTTACTTTCCTTTAAAACTAATGACAATTGAGAGAAGGAAAAAGAGAAAAAAAGTAAAATAAGGAAGAAATATGAATTAGGACCAGAACAGGAACAAAAAGGGACAGCAAAAGAATGAGAGAGTGAGAGAGAGAAAGAAAAGAGAAAAGAAAAAAAAATAAAGAAAAATTTGTAAAGAGTAGAAAAAAATAAAAGTTAAAAATAAGAGTAAAAAAAATTTTGAAAATAAGTAATAAAAATAAAAATGAAGGGCCTCCTTCAGGGTATGTCTCTGCTGTCACAACAGACAACGTGGGCAGTAGTGTGCAGATATAAGTCAATGAGGTTCAGCAAGCCAGTAACAAGACCCCTGAGATTCAGACAGATTTCTGGCTACAAGTCCCAAGTTGAGCTCCCTGTCTTCTTGCAGGGTTGAACTCTGCAAGGTTCTACTGCAGGTTTCAACTGCCTTTCCCCTGAAGATAGTCCAGGTTCTGATGGGAGGCGATGATCCCTCCAACTTACCAAGTACGGTGGTCTGGTGAGCCTTTATTGCAGAGATTCTCTTCATTTTTCCAGTGGGCTTCAATTTTCATCAAGGAGCCTGAGAGTGGCCCTCTTTCTGTTGTTCACCTCTGCTGTATCTTCTGGAGCTCAGGACAATGGCCTTTATGATTCCCTGTGCCTCTGTACTGTGCAAACATGTACCAGCACAGCCAGGAGGAAAGAAGTGGAGGCAGGGAAGGGGGGTGCTGCCGGTGCCTGCACGGCTAAGCTGGGCACTGGGGGTGGGGCATGGGCAGGAGGGTGCCCCACTCCACACTGAGGAGACCCTCTCCGTCCACTAGCTGGGCTCTCTGCATCACAAATTTTTAAAATGAACATTTTCAGTTAAACAGAACATTATGTATCAATGAATTATAATGATACCTTTTAGAATTCCCTTTTTTATTCAAAGAAAAATTCAGCAGACTAAGAGATTATAAATTTATTTTTTCAATGCTCTGTGCTCCAAACACATAGTAATGAGAAGCAGAATATTTTAAATTAAATCACATGAAACCAATAAAAATAAGACGAATACCCTTTTGGACCAAAAGTGTAACAGAATTAGAGACACTGGACATAAACTATGAGAAACTAATTAGAAAAGGAGAGAATGTCAGAGATGTGACTACTATCGAGCTAAGAAGTCTACTTGTGTTGGAGAAGGGGGGACCCAGCTCATAAAATAGGGATCTCATCTGTATTTTCCAGGCCTTATGCAGAAATATATGTGAGTTGTCCTCTGCAATGTGGGGTTTTTAAAGGTGTGAGAGGAAGCAATGAAAGTCCCCCAAAAGGATCCACTGCATGGCAACCCCAAGATCTTTGCTCTGGCCTATGGCAGGATCCCAGAAGGACAAAAGAGACCAAAGGCAAATCAGGATTTATTAGGTATACACCTGACTCAGCTGAACTCCGGTCCAAAGTGCTTGGCGCTGGACAAGGAAATGTTCTGGTTTTTATATATTTTCTGAATGGGGGGCTCTTTCTAGTGACATGAAAGTGAAGGTGGGATGCAAGTGAAGTTACTTAAGCAGACAAACAGCAAGTTAGTCATATCTCACATGCTAACAGTTTTGTTCCCTGTGAATCTTTTGAGAGTAGGGCTTCATGAACTTTGTTCACAGGACACAACTGCCAATCTCACCTGTATCTTTTGAGGACATACAGTTCTTGACAGGTTGCAAAGACTTCATTTATACGAATGTACTGTCTACCCTATTAGTATAGTGGGGTGGACAGGTGTCAGCCTTGAAGGAAGACAGGTTTCTGAGTAACCAGTAGTTAAGAGAAAGCGGGGCAGAATCTGAGTGGGGAGCTGCTGGACTGCTTTCAGCTAGACTGATTTTCTTTTAAGTTCTGCTTTAGGCCTGTATCTGAGCTCCAGGTGGCCAGCTGTACAAACCAATAATCGTATTAGGAAATGACAATGAGAAGAGAAAGAAAGAACTTTTGCACAAGAGCCACAATCTAAAATCCTAAAATGCATGATAGAAATTAATAAAATTAGCTACAGCCTAAACACATCAGGATATATGTTCTTTAAATAACAAATTCTTTAGTAGCCTTTTTTCAGGAAAAGCCTCCAGACCTTCCACTGAGGATTCCTCAGGAAAGCACAGGAGCAGAATCCAGATTATCTGGACAGTGATGTTCCAAACTGACAGCCCCGGGGAGAATACAGCAGCCCCCAAACAGGAAGCTGTTACCTGGAAGAGGCTCCCATCCAAGCATCCACGGACACACAGGTGACTTCTCCCCTCTCCCAGCTAGGAAATCTGCCACTATCAAATGTCTGGGAGAGGGCCAGGGATTTAGCTCAGTGGTTCCTCCCCCCACCTCACAAGGGGAAGGTCCAGAGTTCCATCCCTGGTACCAAAAAACAAAAACAAATGTCTAGGGGATTTGAGCTGAAAGCTCCTGCCCCACTGCTGGTCACAGCATGAAAAAGCCTCTTCTTTTTGCAAAAATCCGACGCCACAGTACTGTATTAGCTTTTGTGTGCCTTGCTCAGGGAGACCTTGTTGGATAACACCATGAAATTTCTCACTCTGTGAAATTAATTGCACAATCTGAACATTATCTACTATAAAATAATACATGGGTGCAGACATAAGGAGGCAGCCCCCCACCAATAAAGGAGTTTTGATCAACCTGAATACGCAAACATTAAACATTATTGAAAGATAGTGCACTTATAATCAATCAGTGCACACCTGCATACTTAAAATCACATATTACACAAATATATGAATTTTAATATATTTCATTTTCCATTCATACTACAAAAAATTCTTCATATATCTATTCATATATATATATATAATACCAATAAAAAAATCTATAAAAGAGTTTTGTCTAACTTAGAAATATTAACTATTAGGCATGTCAATAAAAGTAAACTATTCAATTATAACATTTATTTAATAAATATATTTACATGTAAATATTTCTACAGTATACTATACAAAATAATTTAAAATTGTGCTCTTTATATTTCTGTGTCATGGCCCGGGGATTTAGCTCAGTGGTTCCGGCGCCGGCCTCTATTTCTGTGTCGTGAAACCTTTCCCATACATTTTGCCATCACAATTCTCATTGATTTACAGCCAATTTTGTCAGGTAATAGTCTTACCTATCACCATCAATTTTATCTTTGTTGATCTCTTGATTCTAAAAAGCTAGTCCAAAAGTTATTTTCATCTGGCCTGTGCTACATTCTTAAAGGAAAGAAAACAATTAAGCCAGAAATTTAATTTTTAAAATGTACATACCTGAGCCAGTTATGTTCACTGCCATAGAGCCTTTTCTGTTCCTTCTAATGTCACTCCTAGGTCTGGTTCTGTGGACACCTGTATGTTGTTAGAATAAACTACTAGAATAAGCTACTTAGAATAAGATATTAATGGGATAGTCTATGAAAGTAAAAAATAAAAATTAATATTAACTGTATTTTTATTTCCCTAAGTAAGAGTTTAAATTAAGCCTAATTTTTAGATGAACGTTAATTTCTTTAGGTAATGCTTCTAATTATCCAAGACTTTGACAAATCACCTGGAGAGACACTAGGTGTCACCAGGTTCAAGGCACACAAAGATCTCAAAGATTCATCCGCAACTTCATGCACTTAGTGTAAATCAACAAACCTCAGAAACAAAATTTAAAAGTACCACAGAACCATAAATCCACTCTGCACACTATTAGGTATCTCATAATAGTAACTTTAAACAATCTGCGAAGACTATTTTTCACCCTTAATAGTTCTCAAAATTACTGTTACTTTTCACACCTTTATTTGTGAATATCCTGTTCCTTATATATGAAATGTTTTCACTATTCTAACAAATTTTGATTTTTCTTTTCACACTTAGTTGGCTGTGTGAAGTCTTCAATTACAGCTATCTTTCCTTACAGAAACAAGGGCCTTTCTCCTCAAAGCTACCTTAGTATTTCATCAACTTTTCTACTGCATCTTTAGCACTTGAACCAGAAAGTATTTCTGTACATTTCTCTTTCTCCTGGACTAGAAGAAGCAATTTTTAAAACATTTTTGCATAAGTAGTCTTTGTTTGTTTTATTCAACAATCATTGACTGATTTCCTCTAAGTGCCAGGCACTGGGGTTTTAAGAGTGTCAATCAAAGGTGTTGGGAATGGCATTTCTAGAGGGAATGCTGGAGCTGAGACTTAAAAGACTGAGGTCAGTGAGACGGAGGGCAGCAAAGTGTGAAAACACGAAAAGTAGTGGCACAAGAGGAAGAGAATGGCACAGCCTACCTGTACTTATCTAAAAACATAGGATTCGTGAGAAGAACATCACCAGTAGTTTGGTAAATGCCAGAGAAAGGGCACAAATAGGAACAGAATAAAGATGGAAAGGCAGAGGTGAGATTATTAAAGGCTTATTTGTAACCTTACAATGCTTGGATTTTAATGCTTGAAAGAGTGGTCTGTGGTCACTTTTGCATTGGAGGCAGGCATTTGTAAATGTTAGGGATGAATAAAGGGGTACAAGGAGAAATGGAGGCAGACGAGTTAGGAGAAGGCCACAGTGCATGCAGGCCCTATCTGTGCGAATGTTTCCAGAAGCATTTAGGATATGAAATTATCAGTGCCAGCATAGAAGGAAGTCTTATTAAATGGATAAATGTACACACTGGGGTCCCTGGAGGAATGAACTCTGCTCACTGAAATAGGGATCAGATGAGATGTGAAATGAACGACAGAACTGTTTAAGTTGCTTGCATTTATTTTGTTTTCTGTATTACATCTTCCTATCTGGAGGGAACTCATTTAGGTATTTTGTTTAAATGTCCTAATTCTCAGATCAACCAAGTTCATCTAAAATTTAAAGCAGAGCTGAGGGAGTAGCTCAGTAGTAGAGCATGTGTGTAGCATATAGGAGGCCCTGGGTTTAATCCCTAGCAGCAAAACAAGAAAGAGGACAAACAAGTTACTTGTATGGGTGAGTAGTTTTGGATTTACAGCTTGTAGTCACCACCCTAGAAGATAATTGATGACTATAAAGTACAATGTTAATAGGTAAGACAATGTATTGTCTAATTTATTACCACAGACCTGATCACATGACTGACCCTTGATCATTGAAATAGAATACAAATTAGATACAGCTAATTTGTAGATAGTATATCCTCATAAAATTACAATTGATTTTTCTCTTTTTTTTTAACAGATTGAGTCTCACTATGTTGCCCAACCTAGACTTGAATTCCTGGCCTCTGAAACTGAACCAAAATAAACTCTTCCACCTAAGTTGTTTATTTCAGGTACCTGGTTAGAGCCATAAAAAGCTGATCAAAATAGGAATGATAGGAGATAATATAATGATTAGCTTTGGAAGGTACTTTTTGGGGTTACATTTTATAT